GGTCCCGCTGCCGCGGCGGTGACAGCCGCGAGTCAGGCGGCGCGCGCTGCCCTCATGGCCAAGCCGCCGCTGCCCGAGCGTCCCCGGAGCCGGCCCGGCGGCTCCCTCGCCCCCCGGGGGAGGGGCGCGCGGCGGCGGGAGTTGTCAACTTGACCCAAGTTGCGAGAGGGTGGGAGAGCGCGGTGCGGGGCGGCGGGAGCGCCGGGGACGGGCGGCTCGCTCGGCGCAGGCGGCCCCCCGCGGTCTCGCGTCCCCCTGCCCTGCGCTCCCCGCGGCTGTCACTCGGGCGCCGGGCTCCGCGGCGCAGCGCCACTTGTAAGTCGGAGCGCTCCCGGCCGCTTCTGAGCGGGCTCCACGCTCCTCGCTATATAACCCGCGACCGGGAAGAGCCAGCGGAGGCATCGGCCCTCCCTCCGCTCGGCCCTCCCCGCCCCCGGGCGCACCCCGCCCCCGGCCCAGCCCCCAGCCCGCCCGCCGTCCGCGGAGGCGCGGCGGGGCAGCCCCTCTCACATGGCCGTGGCCGCAGCCTCCATCCCCGGTCGCACCTCCCTTCGCGGCTCACGCCCCCTGCCGTGGGGTGCCCCGACCTCCGCCTGCCAGGCCCGGAGGTCGGGCGTGTCCCGGCCATCCTCCTCCCGCCGTCCGATCCTCGCTTGTCCCTGCCTTTCCACTTTCGTTAACCCGGGGACTCGGGACGGCCCGGTCTGTAGTCAGGCGCCGCGAAAGACAGCCCCGGAGGCTGGCGGAACCGAAGGACCTCGGCAGCGCGGCAATGGAGGTGCCGGAGTCGGTGACTGGGGCTGGCAGCGAGCAGGAAAGGCGACCAAAGCCGCGTCTCGGGGGGCGACTTAGAATCGCAGCTAGCCGTTTGTAACGGGGGGCCCAAAGGCTCTCCTTTTTGCCGGCTGGAATCGCCACCGCGTTGTTGGCTTACAGTCCCAGCCAAGTGTTGCCCTACACGCCGGGCGGGCCACTAAACCGATGCATGCCGGGATTTGTAGTTCGCAGCCTCGCGGCGTTGTCATCGGCGTCCAGACCTGGGTGGAATGCGATCCGAACCCGGGCATCGCAGCCTGAGGACGAGGACCCCGAGTAGCCGAGGTGTCAGCACTCTTTGCTCTTGTCATGTTGCTTAAAGTCTAATCAGTGCACGCACTTTTCCCATACACATTTTACCAGAAACTTGACCCTAGGAGGCTGACTCAGGCAGCTCTTAAATTTTGAGTCTGCGAGGCGAGTTCTCAGTTCTGAGTTCTTTTCTGGATTATCCCGGGACACCTATGCGTCGTGGGGCTTCACGCTCGCCGGCTTTAAGTGAACAGTGCGCATGCGCCGACTTCCTCTCTTTCCGGCCGGAACCATGGAGGGCGCAGAGTAAGTTGCTCCTCGTTCTCTCGAGAATCCTTTTCCATCCCCTAAACCAGAGGCCTTTTGCCTCACGCCTTTTCGATCCAACTGTAGCCTGTGGCATTGCCCTCTTACCTGTGTGCTTATGATGCTCTGTGACACTCGGTGGGGGCTGCAGGCTAACATGGGATGCAGGCGGCCTTGGGGCGGAGGTTTCGGCGTTAAATGGGAGCCGCGGAGGTCTGAGAGCTTAATATGTGCGGGACCGTCCCACTGTCTTTTGAGGGCGGCGTAGAACCTCTGAATCGGGTTCATTCTCGGCTGGTACGTGGCTCAGGCGTAACTGTCGTCAGTCCTTTTGCTTTTAGCATGTGGAGCTTGAGGCCTGAAACGGGGTGGTTGGGCTTTTTTTTGGGGGGGGGGTTGTTTTTGTTTTTTGTTTTTTTTTATTGTTTTGAGAATTCTAAGCCCTCGTTAAGAGTGTAGGGATCAGTGCCTTGCAGCAGCCTCAGCCGTCTGTACGTTTTGTTCACTTCGCTGTGGACTTATTTGTGGGAGGCCGGGATTGGCCGTGGATGAGAGACGTGCACTTGGTCGCCTTCGCGACTGCTGTTTCCGTCAAGTGTTAGAGGCGACTGTTGGCATAGCCATTCCCCAAAACCTGCGACTTCCAACGCCGTAGCACGCCAGAGCGGTTAAAAGAGACAAGTGTTTAGAACCAGGGACGGCAGTTCTGTTAAGTGACAAAAGTGTGCTCGGTACCGAACGGGAGTAATGAGCTTTTTGAGCTATGAACGTTTTTTGCTCATGCCAGAGAGAAGAAGAAGGTTCCTGCTGTGCCAGAAACGCTTAAGAAAAAGCAGGTTCCTGCTGTGCCAGAAACGCTTAAGAAAAAGCGAAGGAATTTCGCAGAGCTGAAGATCAAGCGCCTGAGAAAGAAGTTTGCCCAAAAGATGCTTCGAAAGGCAAGAAGAAAGCTTATCTATGAAAAAGCGAAGCACTATCACAAAGAATATAGGCAGATGTACAGGACCGAGATTCGAATGGCTA